TGGTTGCCCAATCTCTTCTTCTCCATCCAGTGATGGAGCACCCACAACTTCTGGAGGCAAGCTGTTCCACTGGTTATGATTGCCTGGGCAGGTTGTTCCTCTGAAAGCTTCCTTGGACATAGCACATTCATTGGGAGGGGGTGGTGTCTCTTATGCTTGGAAAAGCAGGAGACGCCGTGGACTTAGAAGCAAATTCCCTGCCTTCAGGATCTAGCAAAATCATCTCCTCCAGGGGTGGAAGGAAAACAAAAGACATTCCTCTCGGAGCAGACAGCCTGTTATTTCCAATAATCTATCTCATTACGGTTGCCTAGAGGCAAGAATTTTGCAGTGTTTATGTTTTGTTTTGGAAAATAAAGAGTTTTATGATCTTCACCCAGCTCATAATGCTCTCCTTATTACTCCCCAGCCCTTGATGATAATTTGCAACTTACACACCCATCCAGGCTTATCTTTCTGCCTATGTCAGCCTTTCTAGCATTTCATTCCATCAGCTCCACGCCCTGTCCATCCCGGCCCTCGCTTCTGCTCAGCATATTTCTGCCAGACCTGGAGATGGGTTTTTTTTTTTCCCCTTGAAATTATATCTGCACAACTAACATTCCCATGGCAACATGTTTTTGTTTTTCGGAGGGATTTTTGCATATTGGGGAATTAGGATTTTGAAGGAAGGAAAGAAGGAAAGAAGAAGGAAAAGAAGAAAGGAAGGAAGGAAGGAAAGAAGGAAGGAAGGAAGGAAGGAAGGAAGGAAGGAAGGAAAGAGAAATGGAAAGAGATGCAAATGAGAGAGAGGAAGGAAAGAAGGAAGAAAGGAAGGAAAGAAGGAAAGAGCAAAGTGGAGACAAGTGGAAGCGGATGAAAAATTGAATGAATGAATGGATGAAGGAAGGAAAGAAGGAAGGAAGGAGATAGAGAGGAAGAGAGGGAAGGAAGAAGGAAGGAAGGAGATGAAATGAGAGGAAGGAAGGATGGAAGGAAGGAAGGAAGGAGAAGGTAATGAGAGAAGGAAAGAAGGGAAAAAGGAAGTAAAGAAGGAAGGAGCAGAGACAAGTGGAAGGGGATAAAAAAGATTGAATGAATGAATGAATGAAGGAAGGAAGGAAGGAAGGAAGGAAGGAAGGAAGAAATGAATGAATGAATGAAGGAAGGAAGGAAGGAAGGAAGGAAGGAAGGAAGGAAGGAAGGAAGGAAGGAAGGAAGGAAGGGATACATAACAATAAGGTTAATCCAGCCACTCATCTAGCTGGTGGCTCTAGAAATAAATCAGCCTGAATAAAACCTACTCATTGATTGGACAGACATGCTGCTGTTGTCTCCTTGTACCCACATCATGAAATTGTGTTTGTCGTGTGCTTGATCAGCAGCCAAGCCACTTGAGTGAAGAGGCACATTGTTTACCGAACATCAACTATTGAGTTTCACACGATCCGCTCCTTGGGATGACGGGGTCCTTCACTTCAACTGCCGCTGCCTGAAAGCCACTTGGCTGCTGCTGTACCTGTCTTGAGTGCTGTCACGTTCAACGGCCCTGTGACTTCTGAGTGTGCATGCGCATGTCCATGTGCGCATGCAAGAGAGAGCATTTTGTGGAAAGCGACAAAGCTCCAGGCAAGTCACCTGTTTTTCAGGGTATCAAAACCTGTCAGTGTTTCAGTTGCTGGAAGAATATGTCGAACTTCATATTCTCTTGGGAACATGATATTATATTACAGCACAATCTTAGAGCTACTAATATAACCAGCGCATCAATCGGCAGGCTTCTACAGGCTTTGGGTTTCTGATATATGTCACTGGCAATCTGTCTGTCTTTCTGCACAGCTATCCATGCTTGCATCTCTCCATCCGTGCCTCCCTGCCTGCATCCATCTTTCTGCGCAGCTATCCATGCTTGCATCTCTCCATCCCTCCATCTGTGCCTTCATGCCTACATCCATCTTTCTGCCCAGCTATCCATGCTTGCATCTCTCCATCCCTCCATCTGTGCCTTCATGCCTGCATCCATCTTTCTGCCCAGCTATCCATGCTTGCATCTCTCCATCCCTCCATCTGTGCCTCCATGTGCCAATAAAGGAGAATATTTGTAGGACACATAAACACCATTAACAACCTTCCCAGCTGACTTCCAACAAAGTCAGTGGAGGGAACTGGGTTTGCTTAAAGGCTGTGTGATTCACTTAACAACATCGTGGCAAAATAGGTCGTAAAATTGGGCATGGCTGACTTAGCAATTGTCTCGGGTAACAACAGAAACTCTGCTTCCCAATTGTGGTCGCAAAATGAGGACTACCTTTATAGGATAACTCTCTGCAGGATTCAGTCAGTTTAATTTCGTTTCTGTCCCAGCTCAGCACAACTGTTGTGCCAATTGCACATCGGGGTCTAAGAGGGAAAGGATAGCTGTGTAAAATTTCCTTTTCAGAGGCAACTAATGGGGAGAGAGTCAAAAAAAGTCGCCTGCTGATTCTTTAATCAAGGGGTTGCCATCTTGATTTTTTTGCTCTCTCCCGTGTCCTCAAGTCTGCTGGATGCCAGTTTAAGTCAGGTTTTGCAGTTTGTCTGTGAATGCTGAAATACAGGTATCCTTTTGTGCGCCTCTCTGCAAGCGAATCCAGTTTTATTTGGCTAGTCTGCGTTAGGTCTGCAAATCAGTTTGCATATATTATGCACGCCTGCATTGGTAGGCATTCTTTTCATGAATTGCTGCCCTTTTGTGGAACGCAAACTTCTTTGACCGGCAACCTTTTTCTGCAAAATATTGGAAAAGCGTGACTTTTGGGAGGAAAATTGCGTTCCGCTCCTGTAGGAATTTGCAAATGAATTTTCAAAGAAGTGTTCAGTGGACATGCTGAGGTGATGTAAATGGATTTCTTCCCCTCCCAGATCATTGTGAATCAATTCAATTAGAATAGAGCTGGAAGGGACCTTGGAGGTCATCTAGTCCAGCCCCCTGAACAAGCAGGAGACCCTATACCATTTCAAACAGGTGGCTGTCCATTCAACTCTTCTTATTCTAACTCTCTTCTGTTCTAACTCGTTTCCCATGAAGCAAAAAAAGCAACTGACATTTCAAAAGGGTAACCGGGCTGCGATGTCTGCATCCTTCAGAGAGAGCGTCTTTCCACATCAGCTCAGACGAAATGCTGGCTATTAAGAGAAAAGGTCAGTGGCTTCCATCTGTAAATACGCTTGTTTTGAAAAGCATGACAAAGCTCTCCAGATACCTGCTGAGAAGAACCATGCCACGCCTCTCTTTTGCCAGAATTGTGATTAGACACCATCTTTCTGATTGTTTTTTTTTTTTTCCTCCCCTCTCCCCAGAATTTGCAATAGCATCACTCGGAGGGAATGAAGGAGCTGGGTGCTGCCATTTTGAGTTTCCATCGGATCTCGAAGCCCTGATGCCCTGGGGAAAAAATGGGCATTTAAAGAAGTAGGGTCTTCTTAGTTCTAACTTCGAATGATTGCGAAGTGATCGGTCATAAGTGGAGGACCATCAGTAATCAGATTTGGCAGCATTGGGGAAGAAGGATGGTCTCTTTCCCCCTTCCAGTGCTGCCAAATCTGGTTACTGGTTGTCCTCGATTTACGACTGATCGCGTAGCAACCATTCAAACTTAGAACAAACAGGCTAGGTTGCCTTCCTCTCTCTTATAGTCTGACATTCCATAGACCTCTAAGAAAACTGGCCAGGACATCTTATTTCTCCCTCTATTTTTCTGCTCCCAAGACTGTAGAAACCACGGTCTAAAGTTATATAAGGCTTAGTTAATCCTTGACTCGTGACCACAATCGAGCTGAACATTTCCATTGTACGTGAGACAGTTGTTTACTGAGTTTTGTCCCATCTTATTATCTTTCTTGCCACAGCTGTGGCAAATTGTTAAGTCAGTAACCCAGTTATTTAAGTGAATCTGGCTTCCCCCATAGACTTTGCTTGTCAGAAGGTCGCAAAAGGGGATCACATGACCCCCCCAGGATATACTGCAACCATCATAAGTATAGGTCAGTTGCCAAGCCTCTGAATTTTGAACCCGTGACCTTGGGATGGCTGTGACGGTTGTAAGTGTGAAACAACGATCATAAATCACATTTTCCAGTGCCCTTGTAACTTTGAACGGCCACTAAACAAAGTGTTTAATAATAATAATAATAATAATAATAATAATAATAATAATAATAAGATAACAAAATACAAAGACCTACAAATAGAAATAGAAAGACTGTGGCAAAAGGAAGCAAGGGTAGTACCAATAGTCATAGGCTCCTTGGGTGCAATCCCAAAACAACTGGAGCACCACTTGAACACCATTGGCATTGACAAATTCGCTATTAGTCAATTGCAAAAGGCGGCCTTATTAGGGACTGCTTCCATCCTGCGACGATATCTGTAATACCATCAAACATCCACATCTGCCTATCCCAGGTTCTGGGTAAGGACTCGATAGGTAGACAAAATGCCAAATCCAGTCTGAACATCTGGTTGACTGTGAGATGATCGATAATAATAATAATAAAGTTGGAAGGGACCTTGGAGGTCATCTAGTCCAAACCCCTGCTCAGGCAGGAAGCCCTATACCATTTCAGACAAATGGCTGTCCAGTCTCTTCTTAAAAACTTCCAGTGTTGGAACATCTACCGCTTCTGGAGGCAGGTTGTTCCACTGGTTAATTGTTCTCACTCTCAGGAAATTTCTCCTTAGTTCTAGGTTGCTTCTCTCCTTGATTAGTTTCCATCCGTTGCTTCTTGTCCTGTCTTCGGGGGCTTTGGAGAAGAGTTTGACTCCCTCTTCTTTGTGGCAGCCCCTGAGATACTGGAATACTGAACAGAATAAGAGAGTTGGAAGGGACCTTAGAGATCTTCTAGTCCAACCCCCTACTCAAGGCGGAAACTCATTGTTTCAGACAAATGGCTGTCCAGTATCTTCTTAAAAACTTCACCGCTTCTGGAGGCAGGTTGTTCCATTGGTTAATTGTTCTCACTGTCGGGAAGTTTCTCCTGAGTTCTAGGTTGCTTCTCTCCTTGATGAGTTTCCATCCGTTGCTTCTTGTCCTGCCTTCTGGTGCTTTGACTCCCTCTTCTTTGGGGCAGCCCCTGAGATGTTTAAGTCAAAGACTATCAATACGAAATCTAAGACCAAGGGCGTCCAACCATTGGCAACTTTAAGACTGGGGACTTCAAGTCCCAGAATTCCCCAGCCAGAAATCCACAAGTCTGAACGTTTGCAAGGTTGGACAGCCCTGTCTGAAAGAGGCTTCCTGGAGCCAAGCAGCTCCTTTTTCCAGAATTCCATTCCATCTGCACTATTTTCCTTCCACGAAGGCAAGCGTGCCTGCTTCCCCTCCAACCCTGGAAGAAAATAAAAGCGAGATAAAAATAACTTCTCATTTTTCGACCACATGACCATATAAGGCCTTTTTAAAGGGTTTTCAAGGCTTCTTTCGTAGTTCCCCCCCCCCACCCCCTCGCCCAGTTCAAATGAGATGACTTAAGCAGCCACCTCCTCCCACCCACATTGATAAATAGACGATAGTGGTCAGTCTGGGCTGTGTGAACACCAAGAATAAGCTTGGTTATGATTGACAGACACATTATCCTTAAAAAGCTTCAGACAGGGAGAGAGTAAAGGACACTCTAGACATTTTTTTTAAAAAAAAAAGAAAGGAAAAAAGGACAGTCAAAAGATAAGAAGCCGTTGTAGACTTTCTACCAGTGAATTATAATAACAGATTGTTGCTTCTCTCCTTGAGTAGTTTCCACCCTTTGCTTCTTGTCTTGCTTTCTGGGGCTTTGCAAAATAAATTGCCCCCTCCCTCTTCTTTATGGCGACCCCTCAAATATTGGAAGACTGCTATCAGGTCACCCCTCGTCCTTCTTTTCAGCATACATACCCAATTCCTGCAACTGTTCTTCGTGTGCTTTAACCTCCAGCCCTCTAATCATCTTTGTTGCTCTTCTCTGCACTCTTTCTGGGTCTCAAAGATCTCCTGGGACCTGGTGGGAGGAAAAAGACTTGATTTACCTTGAAGTAAAGCAAATTAAATCAAGGTGACGGACTTTTAACTAAACCTCAGTGGCATTGCCCCATAAATGCAACCTCTGCAGGACAACAGAGAGGCTAACGTAAAGCGAATAACACCCCCCCCACCTCCTGCTATCTTAGTTACAACAGGTGTCACCTCCTTCCCAATTCTTTTTCCTTTTTTCCTGGATGATAAAATAAGATGCCCATTGCCAGGAAATTGCTACCTGCAGATAGATTTTTGTTGCTGTTGTTGTTGTTGCACCGCAGCAGAAAATAACAGACAGGTGCAATCCATCGTCACACTATTAAATGTTAGCACACATCGCTTGTGGCTGGGCAACATTCGATGATCCTAATGCGTTTTGAAAAAAAAGACAGGAGATTTTTTTTAAAAAAATCCATTTTCCATGGGCTCCGAGCAGAGCACATTCACAAACGCGGCATGAATTGAGACGCCTTCAACGCAACTATCTCCTGGCTGCGAGAAAGCGTAGCCGAAGAAAAAGCTATTAAGTAAAATGTCAGCCTCGGAGCGTACGGAAGTTTTTTTCTCTCTCTCGTTTCTCCACTCCCCCTTTTTGGCCTTAGCAGCATGCAAGGAAGCATTTCCCAGTTATAACTGAGTTGAATTTACCTGGCTGAGTTTTGGGATGGGAGTCCCTGAGAACATTTATTTCTATATTCCTTGATTTATATCCCGCTTTTATTCTTTTTACAAATAATGGAGGGTGGAGAATATATCCAACACACCCTCCCTCCTCCTGTTTTCCCCACAATAACAACCCTGTGAGGTGGGCTGGATTGAGAGGGCGGGACTGGCACAAGGTCACCCTGCTAGCTTTCATGGCTACTGGGAGACTAGAACTCACCGTCTCCTGGTGATTGGCCCAAAGTCACCCAGTTGGCTTTCGTGCCTAAGGCAGAACTGGAACTCTCCGTCTCCTGGTGATTGGCCCAAAGTCACCCAGTTGGCTTTCGTGCCTAAGGCAGGACTAGAACTCACCATCTCCTGATGATTGGCCCAGGGCGCAAATGCCAGAGGGACAGAAAAAAATAAATCAAAATGGTGGCCGCCAATGGCCCATCCTTTTATGATTATTTTTTAAGCACGCCTGGTTGCAACGTCAGCTTGACGTCTTTTGACTTTGCCCTGAATTTGCCTAAAATTATCATGACCATCCTCTTCTGAAGCCCATTCTTAGCAAATGCTCCTTCCTTTTTCTTTTTTTTTCCCTGGCTCTCTCCTCTGCTAAATAATTCCTCAGCAAACCGCCTTGTATTTTTTTTTTTTATTCTTGTTTTCCCTCTTCCCTGGATTAGAGCGTTTACTCGCCCGTTGTTTTGTCCCTGGAGGAGGAGGAGAAGCCTCCCTCCCTCCCTGGCTGAAAAACCTTTCCTCCGAAGCCGAGCGGAGGCCTCTTCGGATCTTTCTTCTCTATAAATTGCCTTTCCTGCCCTCACTTTAGCCCCACAAAACAAACATTAGTTAATATCGCCTAGTCAGGATGAGAACGCTGAAGGAGAAGGAACTCAAACACTCATTTCTCTTGCTAAACCAACAATGTAAAAACCTTTAATCTTCTTTGTTGATGCGAGGAAAGGACCAGGGTGTTTCCCCCCCCCCCTTTTTCTCTCTCTTTTTTTCCTGCCAATGTTAAGTAGCAGGTTGCTTGGACAGCTCTCATCCGCCGTTTTCAGCTCAAGCTCCTTCAAACATCACTTCGCCATTAGTCCTGCCTTAGTAGTAAACATTTCCTTATTTTTCCTGGCAGATCCAAAAAGCCCACCCAAGTTTGCCTCAGAGTCATTGCTGATTCTGCGGTAGCGTCCTCTGATCTGGAGAAGGAAGCAGGGACTGGGTTTGAAGATGAGGCTGGCTTCTGCTGATCTTCTGGACTTCCTGGAAGAAGAAAAACAACAACAACAACAACCCGTAAGACATGTCCTCCTGAAGGCCCATCTCATCTAGGTTTGGTTTCAGAAGTGGTCAGCCAGATGTTTTGGTCAGTTCAAAAAGACAAGGAAGAGGGTGACCATCTGTTCCCCGTGTTGCTTACTTAGCAGAGAGCATGTCAAGTTGGGTAGCTGTGATTTAGGAGGCTGCTGACAGCCGTAAAATTAACAGACATTGAAAGTTTGGCCTTCTGTGAAGCTGCTCAATCTCTTTTGAAGTCTTCTAGGCTGGTGACCAGCCTTGGCAGAAAGTTTTACAGCTTGATTTCAGGTTGTGTGTACTAGAGAGGCAAAATAAGCACGTTCTCTTTGGAAGAGTTAATCTGCGAGGCGTAACTTGGGACTCAACCTGAGGACAACATTGAATCATATAGTTCTTCAGATGTTGAGGAAGGAACCAAGACCTGGACCTTCACTGAACTGTGTCAATGTAATGTTGATGTTTCTCCAAACACAAGAAAACTACCATTTTGGTGGAAGAGTCTAGATAAGTCCAAACTTCTCATGGGTTTCAAGTCTATCCTTCCTTGGAGAAACCAAGATTATTCCACCTTCCTTCTTGTTCCTCAGAAATCAAAGGTGATGTGGGGGCCTAGCTGACCCACAGGGAGTCTAATTTAGTCACTGGCATAAGTATTTGCTAGCGTGTTTATAGAAACGGGTAGCCCTTCTCTGCCACTCCCTACCCAAATGCCGACTCGGTTCAAAATATATCTCCTCGCCGTCTGTCTGAAACGGACTCTCTGCCAACAGATCTTCTTCTTTGGCAGTTGCGTCTCTGCCCACCACTCGCGTGAGACTAGCTGGCAAACTTTCTAGCCAGTGATTTCCCCCCCCCCCCCAAACCTTCACAGCAAGCCGGACCTCATTCAGGGGAAGAGCATCAGCTTTCTTTACAGCCAAGATGGTGTGTTTGGCCTCTACCTCCGTAAACCTTGCCACCCTTTCCTGCATCTGGCTGTTTTCCAAAACAGTTTGAACTCAATTATTCTGTTCGCACCTTAGTTTAAATCTACACGTGTAGTCCTGTAAATAATTTTCTGGGGAATCAATCCTGTCTGTCATCTATCTATCTATCATCTCTCTCTCTCTCTCTCTCTCTCTGCCTCTCTCTCTCTAATCTATCACCTATCTATCATCTATTTATCATCTATCATCTATGTCTCTCTCTCTCTCTCCCCTTTTCTCTATCATCTCTTTCTGTGTCTCTTTATCATCTGTCGTCTCTTTCTCATATTTATCATCTCTTATTCTTTCTCATCTTGCTCTCTCCTATTATCTATCTATCTATCTATCTATCTATCTATCTATCTATCTATCTATCTATCTATCTATCTATCTATCTACCTACCTACCTACCTACCTACCTACCTACCTATCATCACCATCTGCCATCTATCTAATCTGTCCATCCATCCATCCAACCAGCTAGCCATCTACCCATCTCTCTCTTTAATCTTTCTTCTGTCTATCTGTCTGTCTATCTCTCTTTCTATCTTTGTGCTTTAAAGATGCCTTTATTGATTTATTTATAACATTTATTGGCCGTCCACCTTACCGTTTGGGTGATATTTCTTTTTAATACCCACAATTCATCATTAACATAGGATATCTGGCCTTTGTATCCTCCCTTGCAAGTTCCTGGCTTGGCTGAGTGCTACTGACACAGCAACTATGTGCATAGCCTCTCCTCCTCCCTCTTATGCTGCAAGCAATACAGAAATCTGATCTTTTTAACTTCAAAACTCAAAATAGATGCAGCATAGGTTGGGGGGGGGGGACAGCTCCCCAAGAGGAAAAAAAAAGTTGGCAAACTCTCCTACTTTTTTGTTCTTATTCAGGTCTGATGAGCACTGAGTTCTATTTTGAATGGCAATGTTTAAACATAGACTTGACCTATTAAGACATTGTGGAATCCCCTGTCAACAATCTGCTGTTCCAGCATTCCAAAGACCATCTCATGAACAGATGGAGGGGGTGCCTGGTGGAAAAGAAAAGGGGTAGAGATGGTTGAAAGGAATGAGAAGAGTTGGAGTCTGCTCCAAGACTCTCGCAAAATAAGTCTCATGAGAAAAATGTCGCCTCTAATCTGTTGGTTTCTTGCCAGAAAGCCCCAAAAGGCTAGACCAGTGTTTCTCAACCACGGCCACTTGAAGATGTGTGGAGCTTGGCAACTTGAAGATGTGAGGACTTCAGCCTTGGCCACTTGAAGATGTGTGGACCTTGGCAACCTGAAGACATGTGTACTTCAACCTTGGCCACTTGAAGATGTGTGGACCTTGGCAACTTCAAGATGTGAGGACTTCAACCTTGGCCATTTGAAGACATGTGGACTTCAACTCCCAGAATTCCATAGTTGGCTGGGATATTCCAGAGCTGAAATCCCCATGTCTTCAAGTTGCCAAGATACAGAAGCACTGGCCAAGGCTCTTGCAGCAAAATAGAGAACGGATGTCACGGATGCAGTTTAAGAAGAATTAAACCCAGGAAGACATCGTGACTTTAGATGGAGCTTCTGACGTAGCCCAACAGGTGGGCAGAGGTAGAATCAAAAGAGACAAGAACACATCCAGGATTGGAAGAAGCAAACCAGTCCCAAGGCTGCCTCTATTCATCTTACACTTCCAGCCTCTGGCTCAAACTATGTTGGGTCTCCCCATTTGCCCTTTAAGTCCTTAGCCAGGTATGGCTTAGGCCCTCCTCTTCATCTAAGCCTGGATCCCAGCCATGTCTGAGTCACGCTCAGAAGAATTTTCTCGCTCCTTCTGATGTTTACAAAGACTTGGCAAACTACTGTCTTGGGAACAGTGTCCTCTAAGTAGCTTTCCCATAAAAGAAATCCCACAGATACAACTTAGCGTTCCTTTCGTTTGTTGTCGACGGCGCAAACACTGACGGCTTTGTGCTTTGTGACTTGAAAGTGAGTGTTTTTTCTCATTTCCCAATTAAACCCTTGACAGGAGCAGGCGGGCTCTCCCCCTTCTCTTTCTTCAATGCAAGATCCAGCTCACTTGGAAGACTCCTGCTTTCTTTTGAAAGTTTTTCTAGCGGCCTGCTTAAAACCTTGAGCGCCACCATTAATTCTAATCTGTCCTACTTTGGCTGCTTAATTTATACGTCTGCTGGATGACTCGGGACTTCAGGAATGCTTTAGAAGCTCTAGACCCCGCACAAATGACAGAAATGAAATGTGTGTGTACCTCTACGTGCGAGGTTGCGCATACCTGCACATACCCATGGGTTAGAAGCAGGCTTTGCTCTCAATGAAAAATCAACGACTGCCCGAATCTATTGGCAAAGGCCGTTCAGTTGCCTCTGGGTCAAAGCCAAAGTCATGTAATAAAGATAGATTAACTGAAGAGTCTAGAAAAAGTTCATTACCTCTTCCTGGACACTTGGACAAAGCTGTAGATCAGGGGTGTCCAACTTTGGCCACTTTAAGATTTGTGGATTTCAACTCTCCAATTTCTCCCATACCCCTTCTATAAACTATTTATCAACAGAGTTTGCATTCTGAAAATGTTGCTGGGTTTTTTGGGTAACTATAATTATTGGAATGCCCCCAAAAGTAAATACTTATACATTCTTGCTCCAACAAATAATAGAAAGGTAATGAAATTCACACGGTCCAGCTTTGCATCCCATCTTTAGTTTAGCCCAAAACACAATAGATGATGGAACCAGTTCAGCTCTGCTTTGTTCAGACAATCGTTGAACTATTTCCCAAGTTTTAGTCACCAGATGTTAAGACATCAACATCTTTGACTGCACAAGGAAAATAATTTAAAAAAAAGCTATTAAAGAGCTTAGAGAATAAACGTTTTAAGGAGAAGTGGAAAGAATTGGGTACATTTAGTGAGAGGAAGAGATTTATGTTGCCCTATACGGGGTCAGATCCAAATAGTCGAAGAACAATCAGGTGACTGATGCAGAGCGAACTTATTTTACATATGGGGATTTTTCAGATCTTAGGATTTCAATTCCCCAAATCCTCAGGAATAGCCACTTTTGGCTGGGAGATTCTGGGATTTTGGCGTGGCCAGATCCAAGTATTTAAAGGGTGATCAGATGGAAGATGTGGAGCAAATGTATTTCCCATTGTTACACAAATATGGAAGTTTTCCAGATCTGGGGTTTTCAACTCTTTAGATTCTCAGGAATGGCCACCTTTGGCTGGGGGGATTCTGGGAGTTTGTGTTCACACATCCCACAGTGAGAATTGGAAACCTAGGAAGAATAAGAACAGAACTTTTGTGTCATGGAATAGATGTCTAGGGATGATGGCAGATTCCTTTGTCCGTGGTTTTTAAGTAGCATGTTGGGTGGCTATTGATCTGCTATATAGCTGTGTTTGCATTGTACCCTTAACTTGCTCCTTACAAACTTGAGTGCTCTCTTGGTTAGATTTAACATCCAATGTGTGTGTCTCTCTGTGTGTGCATGCACGTCTTTAGCATGTTGGGTGTATGCCACCTATTTTCTTTTATAATTCATTCTGCTGTGCAAATGTTGATTTGTTAATCAGAGTATGTGAATTGCATGAACACCTAGTTTTCTCTCTCCCCACCCTCCCTTCCTCTCCCTTTCGCTACAGTACTTGTTATGTCTCACCGCTACTCACCTTCTGCATGTTGAGATTGTCTATAAACTTCTCGGCTTCTCATAATCTGTCTCAATGGATCACAGGATCCCTTTTGTATTTTGAGAGGTGGACTTGTCTTTGGTCTGCCTGCATAAATAGGATGCGATTGTTGTTTCATTTCGCTGAGGAGAAGTGAAGAACATCTTTGCTGAAAGCGGTCTCAAAAGCTGTCCAGGCTTGGTTAAACAGGTGGAGGCATCTGAATGTCCTTCTCTTAGACCACCAGAAACGTTGATAGGATGAAGTTCCTTGGGATTCTTCCTTGAGATTATTTTGCTGAAGCTAAACAATGCAGACAGGAATGG